AATTTGTAGGTGTTGTGGCACGTTTGAGAAAGTAGAAGTTGGTGCCCACACTGAGAAATGAGCAATTAAAAACAAAACAAAAAACTAAGGCAGCACACATTCTGTACCTTTAAATCATATTTGAAGCACATTCCCTCTCAAAGAATTCTGGGCAGTGTAGTTTGTTGAGGTTTGCTGGGAACAGTAACGACAACAAGGAATAAACTACATTTTATTGCAGGCCCTACTGTGTGTGTAATTGACCCAAAAGTTGCTTATTGCTAGGTCCAGTTTGGTCACTATTGGATTATGGCAGGGAGATTGTGGCTTAAGAATGACTTCCAGAGCTCTTAATGTCTATGTTTAAGAATCTGACATTTTAATAGTAAAAGGTATGGCTTTTGATCCAGAAGTTCAGAGGTGCTCTTAATTGGCAAAGGGGTTTCCAAGAAGACCTTGCATTTTTAATATTTGCTGCTTGTAATATAGCATATGTTTGGGAACATATAGTTTCACAGTTGTATATATCCGTCTCTTTAACTAATTCTTTGTGTTTGTAGTCTTCCATTTGTTGCTGTTGGGAGCGGGTAGAATATAGACTCGGTTCTGCTGATTTGCTGCTGGCCAATTTCCGATGGACCAACTTCCTTAACTTCCTGGGTGGCAGAGCATGCATTTTTGCATGCAAAAGCTCACAGATAGGATCCCCAGCATCCCCAAGGAGAACGGGGAGAGACTCCTGTCTGAAATCGTGGAAAACTCATTCAGCTGATGTAAAACACTGTATTGTCTAGCTCTGTAGATGGCATCATTCGTATGGGCTTGCAGTGCTAGATTTGGTCCGAACCAAGAACAAACTTGGCGTAAGCAAGAATGCAAACTGAGGATTGCTATTAATTCATTCAGCCTTCGCCAACTTGGTGAGATGGGAGTTGTAATCCAAAACATCAGGTTGGTGAATCAGTTGGTTGCACCTTAGCTATTAAGGAATCCTTGCTATAGGTTCTTGCTATATTTTGTTGGAAGCCGCCCAGCCAGATGGGTGGGGTATAAATAAATAATAATAATAATAATTTATTCTTGCTTTGTAGGGGGGCAGAAGAGAAGGGGAGACCACACAAGATTGAAATCTGCCACTCCTGCTTTAACTTAACATTGTTAATAGTTTAACTTTGCGGCAGGCAACAGCATCCAATTGGATTAGATCCCTTTTTTTTCCAGGGACTACACTATGGAAAGAGGGTAACAATATCTATTCCAGTGATTGAACATATGTTTTGTTCATCAGTTTTCCCCAGCTGTATTGAGTTAATTTTGCAGAAGACGCTTGTTGTACATTGTCTATGGCCTAGCTGCTAGAATCTCTCTCTGGGTGTATGAATGAAAACAATGACAAATATACAACACTCACACGGGTGTTATTGTTTGTGTGGCTACTTTTTGTTGTTTCTGGCAGAACTTCTGCATATCTAAAAACTCAATTCCCCCCCCCCCCTCCTTTGGAATAGGCATACAGCGGCAAGGAGTATTGAATTTCTAAATGATGTGCCCCTGTTGAAAAGACAGGAGCGACTCTTTATTAAAAGAAGACGTATTTGGAGCCCCTGTATAAACCAACTTTTCAAACCTCTCCTTGCTCATTTTGGCAAGATGCATCTTGCAGATGTGCTGTGGAAAATAGCTGAAGGGGAGTTGAACACCTTTGGTCCATAAAACTGCTGATGAAGGGAAGACAGCTTAAAAAACAACAACACCCAAAGTAAAACAGCATCCCCTTTGGGTGCAAGATGTTCCAGTTGCATGTCACTCTGCTTGTTAGAGAGATACAGAGATGGGAGATGAACAGTGCAGTTCCATGCATGTGCTTCCCCCAAAGAATCTTGGGATCTGTAGTTTTCCACTGCAATTCCCAGCACCCTTAACAAGCTACAGTTCCCAAGTCAGGGATGGGGAACCTTTGGCCCTCTCAGCTTTTGGGGATGATGGGAATTGCCATGCAACAATAAGGTCATTATGTGTAAATCACCTTGATATGGTGGTTTACCAGTGATGGTGATGACAATGATGAATAACATTAATACACAGATTCCCCATTTGTGCATATTGCTTCCAAACACGGTAAAGTCCAACCCTCTGTTTTGTTTTGTTTTGTTTCCTGTTATCATTTCTACTATTAGATGATTAAGGGATGCGGGTGGCACTGTGGGTTAAACCACAGAGCCTAGGGCTTGCTGATCAGAAGGTCAGCAGTTCAAATCCCCGCGACGGGGTGAGCTCCCGTTGCTTGGTCCCTGCTCCTGCCAACCTAGCAGTTCGAAAGGACGTCAAATTGCAAGTAGATAAATAGGTACCGCTCTGGCGGGAAGGTAAACAGAGTTTCCATGCGCTGCTCTGGTTCGCCAGAAGTGGCTTAGTCATGGTGGCCAGTAAAGCGAGATGAGCACCACAACCCCAGAGTCGGCCACGACTGGACCTAATGGTCAGGGGTCCCTTTACCTTTACCTTTTTTATTAGATGATTATTCTTCTATGTGTACTGTGTTTTTTATTGCTCTGCCATTACTGATTAGCTAAATTGCTGTGAGATTTATTAAGTATTTGAAGTCTCAGCTGTTGGCTTGAGACAACATGTATCTGGCCAGTGGGATGAGTTAGGGGATGCTGTATATAGTAGGAGGCAGTAGAAGATGTTTCCTTGCTGGCTAGGCGTTTGTATAAAGAGGCAGAACTATTTTTAGGCACAGTGTTACCAATATTATTTGCCGCTGAATTGTTGCTGTTATGGCTTCATGGTTTTAGCAATGCATTAACTTTGTATAATGCTTTTTCTGTTGGTTGTAACTGCCTTGGACTCCCAACTGGAGAGAGAGGGTGAAATTTAAGAATCTGGAATAGATGATGGTTAAGTTACTGGGTTGCATTTAACCAACATGCCTTAATTTCTGCTGATCGGCATCTCTGCATTGGGCCGACACCTTCCTTTGAAGTCACCTAACACTAGTTTTTAGCTTATTGTTGTTTTCAATTATTTTTGAACGTTTCAAATAGTTGCTATTTGTTTTATTCTTTTTGTAAACCACTTTGAGGGTTGTTGTTTTTTTAGTTTATTTTACAATCAAGTGGTACATACCTCATTAAAAAACAAACAAACAGTAAGCTAAAAACCAGATTAAAATACCTGTCAAAGGACTACATATCTGGATAGGCTTGCCTAAATGCAAATGCACCTAAAAGAGTGCAGTGCACCTGCCTGATGTCAACAGGCAGGGAGTTCCGAAGTTTGTGTGCTGCCACACTAAAATATCACTTTAAAAGAGGTGCAGTGTCATTCTTGGCAGTCAGCAGTGAGCCAGGTGGGCCAGAGACCTGATGGCAAATAAAAGCAGATTCATGTAGTCTAATTGCATCTGAGTCAACATTTATCAGGAAGTGCTTTTCTGAGATAATTCCAGAGACTTTCCTTTTCCTTTTTCTCACTTCCTCCTCTACCTCTTGAAAATATCAGTTTACAGAATTTTCTCCCAAGTACTCACCACCATTTTTTTAATGGCAGCTGCCATTTTCTCACCCACACCCCCCACTCTTAATTGACCCTGGGGAGTTGTGGAGGATGGAAACTGGTGGCCAGTTTGCCAACCCAGTTTCCATTGGTGCCACTTGTGGCGAGGCATAACAAAAACCTGGAGCGTGGCAAGGATGAAGCTGTGTCGTTGCCACTGTATAATAGTTAGGCAAATTATTAAACAATAAATCCATTTATTTCCCTTAAAAAAACCCATTTAGAACTGCAAGTGCATAAGTGGACATGACAGCACTTCAAAGAGGCCTGTGTGAACCACCTGAGATTCAGGAGACGTCTTGACACATCTGGCAGATAGATCTGCCTTGCGGCCTTTTGTACAGATGTAGTCTTCCACTCTCCATTGTCAGAAGTGTCTTCACCCAAAGAGTTAAGGTCAAGCAGCTGGTTAATCCAAATTTGTTGAAGATTAGGGATGTGGCGGCATTTATAATGGGGCCTTTAATCTGGCGGTTCTGAGTCACTGCTTAAACGCTGCATAATTTCCTCGGCTTATCGAGCCTCCCCAAAGCTTCCCTTCTCCCACCCTCCCTCCCTCTCTCTCATTAAGGTTTCCCCACGTGAGACAGAGAAGTGGAAAGCGAAAGGGAGAAAGTGCATTAGCGCACTCAAATCACAGCAGGGAAGAAGCATCTTCCTCCCCCTCCCCCCACCCCCTTTCTAAATGTTCTCGTCTTTGACCAAAGGTGCGATAATTAACGTTGTTATAATTAGAAATGTACCGTCTCTGTGTGTGGCGTGCTGATTGAGTGCAAGTATGCTTCCAGCTTGCTGGAACGTGCGTAATCATAGAATCTTAGAGTTGGAAGGGATCCAAGGGTCTTCTAGACCAACCCCTTGCAATGTACCGTAAAGGTAAAGGACCCCTGGATGGTTAAGTCCAGTCAAAGGCGACTATGGGGTTGTGGTGCTCATCTCGCTTTCAGGCCGAGGGAGCTGGCGTTTGTCCACAGACAGCTTTCCGGGTCATGTGGCCAGCATGACTAAACCCCTTCTGGCACAACGGAACACTGTGACGGAAACCATTGTTTACCTTCCTGCCGCAGCAGTACCTATTTATCTTTGTGTGCTTTCGACCTGCTAGGTTGGCAGGAGCTGGAACAGAGCAATGGGAGCTCACCCCGTCACGGGGATTCGAACCGCCAACCTTTCGATCGGCAAGCCCAAGAGGCTCAGTGGTTTAGACCACAGCGCCACCCGCATCCCATGCATGTACTGTAAACCACCCTGTTGGGTACTCCTGAAAGAGACCTCTGGATCAGACCCAAGGCTTATCTAGTCCAGAATCTTGCTCTCACAGTGGTCAACCAGATGCCTGTGAATTAAAACCCGCAAGCAGGACCCACGAGCACAAGAGCACTGTCTCTCTCCTGTGGTGCCCAGCGCCTAGTGTTCAGAAGCGTTGCTGCCTTCGACTGTGGAGGCAGAGCAATAGCCATCATGGCTAAGCAGCCAGTGTGGTGTAGTGGTTAGAATGTTGGACTAGGACTTCGGAGGCCAGGGTTTGAATCCCCACTTGGTCGTGAAGCTCACTGGGATGACCTTGGGCCTGTCACTGCTTCTCTGGCTCGCCTACCTCACAGGGTGGTGGAGGAGATTGAATGAGGAGGGGCGTGAAGCATGAATGCCACCTTGAGCTCCTTGGGGGAGAAAGGTGGGATATAAAAGCAATCAATCAATAATAAGCTTGCCCTCCATTAATTTCTCTAATCCTCTTGGGGAGCCATTGATGGACACTGATGCAGCCCCTTGCAGGAGCCTCCTCATTTCCTTATGCAAACCTAGGGTGGAAGCCTATGTTTAAACTGGCAAATACACTTTACTCAAGCATATAACCTACCTGTTAACAACACACCTGTATTTTGACGGTGGGGGGAGAAGGCAGAAAGACGTTTTCAGGGAAGAACTGGCGAGAAAGAAGGCTGCTTAGCCCTGCCCAGGGCTCTCCAGCCCCCAACCCCCGCAAACACCACAGCTCCCGTCTCCTTAAAGTTGGCCTTTTTCCAGGCACAGAGCCTGGCTAGTGGAAAAAACATATATTTATATATTAAAAATATTCCACCCTCTGGAGTTCTTGCAGGATATAAAACCTCCCTCCCTGTACAAATGCACACACTCCTGCCGTAAGAATGGATGCCTCGCTAGTGCAAATTTCTTTTGCAGCATCCATGACTTGCCTTTATCTTTTAAGTTTGCCGTTCCTTCTCTGCGAGCTCGTTTTGCACTGGTGGCTGTAGGCAGTGCAAAGGGTCTTTCTTCCTTTCTTTCTCTTTAAGCAGGGGTGAACCAGTCGACTCTCTGGAACAAGGAGTAACCAGCAGCGTGCCGCTAAGTCAATATTTGCCTTTTCAAAACGTCACACGTCATTTCGCGGCTGTCAGGGCACTCTGCGAATGCATTAGGGCATCTTAGGCAGAGCGTGAATATTTAATTGAGGAGTGAAATCTAATCCTTTTTAATTTATCCTTAAGCTGCATCGAGGCCTCCCAAGCTGATCACGCATTGGGAAAAGACACAAGTTTCCACGCTCGGTTTCTGTTTCTTAAAATGAGAGGCTTTGGATGTTGACCTCAAATAGCAAACAACGCCGTGTGTGAAATAATGGCTCACTCAGCTGCGTCATCCTTCATGTGTACAGGTGTGCTTTGAAGAGCCATGCAGGTAAGCTCAGGGATCTGAGAAACCCAGGAGCCTGTAGGAGAGGAAGTGTTCTTCAGTGCCTAGAGTACATGGTTTGCATGCAGAAAGCTACACATTCACTCCCTGGCTATAAAGGACTTCCCTCCACCATTGTAGAGCTGTTGCCTGTCAAAATAGACAACCCTCAGCTAGATAATCCGACCAATGATCTGACTTAATATTTTGACGGCTTCATGCATTTCAGGCATCTTCTGGATCAAGGTTCGTTGTGTAGAAACTTACGCTACTTGTTGAAGGTTCATTCATCCAGTCTGTATAACGTTTCCTGCACATGTAACTTGTTAAGATACAGTTGTACATTTATCCACTCCATGTTTACAGTGTCTCCAGGCTTTGTTTTGCACATGGCACCTTAGTATGTTTGTTGCTTGAATGGTTACAAGTCTATCTCTATTCTAGTTGTTATTCTAGTAAATTTGGTTTTATACTTATAAGCCAGTTTGTGGTGTTGTTGTTTTGTTGCATCATTATTACTGTCCCACATTTGATACTTTGTGTATATACTAGAAACGTGAGTGTACAACTTCTACAGCAGATTTTTTTTGCTTTTTTATTTTATTTTAGGTGTACAATTTTAACATTTCCAAATTTGAATCTGTGCCCTCTGCACCTTAATTTTTAATTCTTACATTTTTACAGTGTTAAATTCCCAGCTATAATTTGGGGTGGGTGGTGGGGTGGGCTTAAAGGTTTTAGGTGGGGAAGAACCTGAAACAAAACTGCTAAGACATTTGCAAAGCTAAGTAGCTTTTGATTTGAATGCGAGACCATGCGTTGAGATTTCCTACATTGCAGGGGGTTGGGTTAGATCCTTTGGGGTCCCTTCCAACTCTACGATTCTATGATTCTTTGCAGAAAGCTTAAGATTTAGGGAGCTGCATCCTCTCTTCCCACTCTTGTGTAGCCTTTGTCTTTATACCCCACTCCCCTGTGGCGATCGTGCCTGGTGTTTTTACATGAGTAGAATGTGTGCTTTTATTTAAAATGTATCTCTGGGTTATTTGTGGGGCCTGCCTGGTGTTTTTACATGAGTAGAATGTGTGCTTTTATTTAAAATGTATCTCTGGGTTATTTGTGGGGCATAGGAATTTGTTCATCCCCCCCCCAATATAGTCTGGCCCCCCACAAGGTCTGAGGGACAGTGGACTGGCCCCCTGCTGAAAAAGTTTGCTGACCCCTGCTCTAACCATTATGTCACATTGGTTCCTTCTGGCTGTTGTTGGGCTGCAGCCCCCATAATCCACGAACCCTGGCCAGGCTGGTGGGAGTTGTAGTTCCAGACTCTTGGAGGGCGCCCGGTTGGAGGACTGCTTTTCCTGATGCAGGAACCACTCTAGCTAGCGGCAGCAAAAACAGCAGAGTCCTTTGCCACACATTAAAACATGAATTAGTTTATTGCGGCTTATTCTTTTATGGTCGTGTGTGTGTGTGTTTTCAATCTCCACATTAACTCCTGTGATCCTTTTCATAGCATCCAGATTTTCAGGCTAAATAATTTGATTATGCGTGCCCACATTCAAATTATCTGTGCTGTATAAGGGCAATATTCTTGTGTTCTGAAAGGCTTCATCTACTCAAATGAGAAGCAGGGACCATTGAGAAGCAGCCTATCAAAGTATGGTTTTTGCATCTGCGTTGCTTGTTCCTGAAATTGCCTCCTTTTTTAGTTGGTTCCCCCCCCCCCCACACCTCGTCTCATTGCATTGCCTTGGATTAGACCCACAACTGGACTCACTGTGGCCTGGCATTCTGGATCCATTGTTTATTAATTGTCTACATTCACACCAAATATTAAAGCGCTCTTTTACCACTTCTTTTGGCTGCCCCCAAAGAATCCTGGGAACTGTAGTTTGACATGGGTGCTGTGATTTGATAGGAGACCCCTGTTTCTCTCACAGAGCTACGATTCCCAGGGTGGTTTAACAGTCAATCCCTCTTCTAGAATCATAGAGTTGGAAGGAACCATGAGGAACCATCTAGTCCAATTCCCTGAAATGCAGGAATCTTTTGCCCAAAGTGGGGCTTGAACCCACAACCCTAAGAGTCTTGTAGTCTGACAGCTGAGTTGTCCCTGACTTCTTCCTAGGGAACACTGGGAACGGTAGCTCTGTGAGGGGTCTCCTGTCAGCTTTCAGCACCTTGAACAAACCAGAGTTCCCAGGATTTAATGGCATGACTGTTAAAAGTAGTGTAACAGTGCTTCAGTGTGTGGTGCGAACGTTGTCCTGCAAGGGTGTCAGATAAACTTGTTTAAAGTGGGGTGCTGCAGCTTTCAATGTTCAAGGGAGATGGGTTCAAGGTGTCCTGCAAAACAGCACCCTGAGCAAGGGCGAGGTTTTCTCCGCCCTACAAGGAAGCAGGAAAGGCTACGCATTTGTCAAACAGAATGGAAAGATAAACCCACAATGAATAGTTCCCTTGTTCTGTGATTCCTCTCGCCCTGCTCCATAGACATTATGTAAAATGACTTTGCCACAGCAGGAACCACAGGAGGAGGAGGAAGAGAGAAAGATGATAGTCTCCCTTTGGAGACAGAACCAAGGATCTTGGTTTAAGCACAGGCAGGGAGGTGCTTATTTATTAATTAAATTTGTATACTGCCCTATATCCAGAGGTCTCAGGGTGGTTCACAACATAAAATTACAACATAAAATGACAAAATAATGTCCAGTGCTGCCTACCTGCCCAGGGTCCCTAGTCCCTGCACAGATGGAGGTGTCATAGGAAGCAATGCCTAGTACAGTGATACCTCAGGTTAATACTTAATTTGTTCTGGAGGTCCGTTCTTAACCTGAAACTGTTCTTAACCTGAGGTACCCCTTTAGCTAATGGAGCCTCCTGCTGCCACTGCATGATTTCTGTTCTCATCCTGAAGCAAAGTTCTTAACCCGAGGTACTATTTCTGGGTTAGCGGAGTCTGTAACCTGAAGCGTATGTAACGTGAAGCGTATGTAACCTGAGGTAAAGGTAAAGGGACCCCTGACCGTTAGGTCCAGTCGTGGCCGACTTTGGGGTTGCGGCGCTCATCTCGCTTTATTGGCCGAGGGAGCCGGCGTACAGCTTCCGGGTCATGTGGCCAGCATGACTAAGCCGCTTCTGGTGAACCAGAGCAGCTCACGGAAACGCCGTTTACCTTCCCGCCGGAGTGGTACCTATTTATCTACTTGCACCTTGACGTGCTTTTGAACTGCTAGATTGGCAGGAGAACCCGAGGTACCACTGTACATAACTCAACTTACAAATTCCATTTTTGAGGAGGAGGAATCCTTTTAGCCACCCCTGTCAACCATCATTTACGACCTTATAGGGTAGACTGGTATTGGGACCGGATCCTTATCTGGGGATGAAGGCTAAGGGAACGACTTGCTGAAAGCCTTTCTGGCAAATTCAGCTGCTCTTTGAACTTTGGAGCAGGGAATCCCCTTTGGGATGCTGTTCCCAGCCTTGCTTGCCTTATCCAGGTGTTGCTAGAATTAAACTCTCATCAGCCTCAGCCAGCATAGTCAGTGGTCAGGGGGTGTAAGTCCCAAAGCATCGCAGGGCCATTGATTTCCCCCACTTTCCCAGCTTTTTAACTTTTTATGGCAAGAACCTGCATCCCCGAAGTGCCATTGTTTCATGCATGTACCTGTATATTGTCTCCACCTTCTGAAATTAGGCAGGTAGCAGTGGGGGGGGGGGGGAGGGACTGTGGAATGCTCACTTGGCACCCACTGACATGTATGTTTGTTTTCTGGCAACAGACAAACACGCACATACCCCCCCCCGTCCTTCTTAAAAATGGATAGAATTCTTTGAATAAACCAACTTTCCCAGGTTTGTTTCTTGTTTTTATACGACTTCTGTTTTCCTGTGGTGTTGCTCTTAATGCATTAGAGCACGCTGTTAAATTGTTTTTAAAATGGATTTGTTACGGTTGTCGGGAGAGCTGTTTTGCGCCGCAGATGTGGGATATAAAATACACTGTAAATAAAATTAAGCACAACGGAACAGTTCTACAGAACGAGGCTGCAGCTCTGTAGCAGAGCATCGGCCTTGCGTGCAGAAGGTCCCAGGTTAAACCCCTGGCATCTTTAGATAGGATTGGCAACAGAATCATAGAATTGGAAGGGACCCCGAGGGTCATCTAGTCCAACCCCCTGCAATGCAGGAATCTCAAGTAAAGCATGCTTCTGAATCACTAGCTAGCCTCTGCCAGTCAGTGTTGGCAATGCTAAGCTAGATGGACAGGCTGTCTGACTCGGTATAAGGTAGCTTGCTATATGCTCTGGTCCCATGTGCTTCCTACTTGTCGGTCAGTGCCTTTTTGCATTCTGGGAGCTGGATATGATGCTTTAACTCTCTTAACACTTGATCCCAATTAATTGTTATTATTGCTTATTAAAGTTCTGTCCTGCCCTTCCTCTCAAAGGAGCTCAGTGCAACAAACAGCTAAGAAACAAAATAATACAAATACAAATAAATAAAAATGGCTATACAAATGTTGGAGGTTTTAGTTACTGGGTTCCCTAATAATTGGTTATAAAACAACTCTGGGAATTGGAGCTCTGTGAGGGGAACAGGGGTCTCCTAACAGTTCCCAGGATCCTTAACAAACCACAGCTCCCAGGATTCCTCAGGCTTTGATGCTTTGCCACCCAGCGGTGGAAAAAAGCAGCCCTGAGCTTCTTCCATCTTGAGAAGTGGAGAGCAAAAAATCACCCCACCCCCCAAGCTTATGGGCTCTAAACCACACATCAGTTACAGGGTGTGATTAATCATCCATTATTTCAAACTTTAACCATGACCCTGGACACCTGCAGGATTTTTTCCAGGGTGGCAGCAACAGTAAAGTAAAATGCTACAAGCAGGGAGCCAGACTGATTTCTCTCTGAAAAAAATGAGTACTATTGGTAGTTTGTGCTGTTGGACTGATCCTTATAGACTCTCCAGGTTGTAGCTGTGACAGAACTGGAAGAGGACCAGGCTTGGTTTTGGCCTCCGTATACCATTCCCCAATGCGTTCATGTGAGGGGGCAAAGGGGTGGATTGAGCTGGGATGGGGGTGGCGCTGTGGTCTAAACCACTGAGCCTCTTGGGATTGCCGATCGGAAGGTTGGCGGTTTGATTCCCCGCGACGGGGTGAGCTCCCGTTGCTCTGTCCCAGCTCCTGCCAACCTAGCAGTTCGAAAGCACGCCAGTGCAAGTAGACAAATAGATATCACTGTGGCGGGAAGGTAAATGGTGTTTCCGTGGGGTCTGGCACTCGTCACAGTGTCCCGTTGTGCCAGAAGCGGTTTAGTCATGCCGGCCACATAACCCAGAAAGCTGTCTGTGAACAAATGCTGGCTCCCTCGGCCTGAAAGCAAGATGAGCACTGCAACCCCATAGTCGCCTTTGGCTGGACTTAACCGTCCAGGGGTCCTTTACCTTTACCTTTTCTTACATTGTGCAAGAACACCCAGAGTAAGTCATGACTGGGCTGAATTTGCACCCAGGACTTTCCAGTCTAAGATGGCCTCTAGCTTGGCAGTCACCCAGGAGATGGGGGAGCTGTAGCCCTCTAGATGTTGTTGGACTCTAACTCCTATCATCCCCAACCATTGGCCATGCCGATGGGAGTTATAGTCCAGCAACATCCCTGATCTAAGCAGTTTTAACATCAGATCTACTCACAAAATCCTGTTTGTTCACTCTGGATTTCAGGCAGCTGGTGACACGGTCTGAGTGGATTTATTTATTTTATTTAAAGCATTCATATTTCACTTGTGCTTCACACCACATGTAAATGAAACATACTTTAAATCTCCAGAATTGCTGCTTTTTTGAATCAGAGGGTTTGTTCCTAGCCTGAGATCCAGGGCAGTGCCCTAGCTCTATGGGTAAATAGGGTCTTACAAGCGAGGTGCTCAAAATACTACCAATTTTGGAAAATGTGGTAGTGATGGTCTTGTTTTCACCCAGCTAATCAGTTTTCAAAACAAGAAATGGTTAAATAGTTGACAGTGCTAATATTGATCTTTGCTTATTAACCTGCTGCTCACGTGCTGTGTGTTCTGCCAATGCTGTGCATCGGTCTGTAGCTTGTAAAACAGTTACTGTCTGTGCCCACAAAGCAATCAATGATTTAGCGCACGGTTTATCAGCATGCCGTAGGAACACAGGCTGTGCAACGTAATTGGCACATGCAAACGACTAAATCTCGGATGGTGATAATGTTAACCCGGCATTTCTCAAAGTGCACCTTCTCAGATGTCTGGGAGAGAACGGTTGCCCGCTTTTAACTGGTTTGTATTTTTATTTCAAATGTGCCTTCCGGCTGGCATGCAAAGTGGTGCTTCCTGAACTCCAACCATGGATTATTCCGGAGAAACAGAAAGAGGACTGTTCTGCTTTGCAGTGTCAGAGAGCTTTTCCTTTCACCAGCGCCGCTTTTGAGTTACGGAACGGGCAGCAGCTGCTTTTTCTCCTGGCAAATAGGAAGAAGTGGTCGAAGGCGAGTGTGTGTGTGTGGTTACTGGAAGCAAAGTAGCAATGATTTCACCTTGGGCGGTGGGGGAGAACTGGACAGGGTCCCAGTTCTGGAGAATCAATAGCTGGAAGACATATGGCAAGGTTATGTTGAGCACGGGTCATTGACGGGGCAATGTCCCAAACTGGCTTGCAATATGGACCGACTGATAGTGGGTATCTCAATGGATTGCAGGCTACTGGGGTCTGTTTTGAGTTGCTGACCGGGCCAGTGTCTCAAATGAATGCAAGCTAGGGCGTAAAGGCGGGAGGAAGATGATAACATGGAGGAATTTGGAATAAAGCACTCTCTTTAGGAAGCAAAAGAAGAAAACGTTTCTTCTCTGCTGACAGTGCAGTCGTATCACCATCTACTTGACAAAAGCTTCCCCTCAAGGAATGTGTAGGATTACTACCTTAATGACTCCTTGCTGTGTTGGAAATGAAAAGAGGCATGATAAAAAACTTTCAGTAAATGAGGAAGAATGGAGAGAATGCAGTGCCCAACTTAGACAAATTGCAGGCAGGAAAGCCTAGATGAAGATGTTCAGCAAATTTTGCTTTACAGCGTGTAATCCCTTCTCTCTTTGTTAATTTTAATTGGATTGTGAACAGTTATCTTGAGTTCTTTGTTCTTCCCGCCCTCATTTTTGGAATCGTTCTTTTGTCATTTCCTCCAAGTCTGGGTGGACTGCTTTTTTCTTATACGATTTAACTACGCCCTCTGTAGATGGGAACTTTTGACTTGTTGCATGTAGCCATGTAGGGGGAAGAATTGTAGTTCAATGGCAGAGCAACTGCTTTGTGTGAAGAAGGTCGCGGGTTCAATCCAGGCATCTCCAGGTCTCGGTCCAGCAGTCTAACTACTTCTCTATACTAGATCCCCTGCCCCCGACCACCTTTCCCAATATATAGGGACCAACAGACATCTTGGGGTTTTCTTTTCTTTTTCATCCACTGAATTGTAAAACAACAACAAAATAACAAAACAACAGCAAAACAACAACAACTTATTATTTATACCCTGCCCATCTGGTTGGGTTTCCCCAGCCACACTGGGTGGATTCCAGCAAAATATTAAAATACAATGATTCATCAAATATTAAAAGCTTCCCTAAACAGGGCTGCCTTCAGATGTCTCCTAAAAGTCTGATAGTTGTTTATTTCTTTGACATCTGATGGGAGGGCGTTCCACAGGGCGGGTGCCACTACCGAGAAGGCCCTCTGCCTGGTTCCCTGTAACTTGTCTTCTCGCAATGAGGGAACCACCAGAAGGCCCTCGGCACTGGACCTTAGTATCTGCGCTGAATGATGGGGGTGGAGATGCTCCTTCAGGTATACTGGGTCGAGGCTGTTTAGGGCTTTAAAGGTCAGCACCAACACTTTGAATTGTGCTTGCAAACGCCAATGTGGGTCTTTCAGGACTGGTGTTATGTGGTCTCAGCAGCCACTCCCTTCACCAGTCTGGCTGCCGCTTCCTGGATTAGTTGTAGTTTCTGGGTCACCTTCAAAGGTAGCCCCAGATAAGTGTGTTGCAGTAGTCCAAGCGGGAGATAACAAGAGCATGTACCTCTCTGGCAAGACAGTTCACGGGCAGATAGGGTCTCAGCCTGCGTACCAGATGGATCTGGTAAACAGCTGCCCTGGACACAGAATTGACCTGGGCCACCATGGACAGCTGTGAGTCCAAAATGAGTCCCAGGCTGCGCACCTGGTCCTTCAGGGGCACAGTTACCCCATTCAGGACCAGGGAGTCCTCCGCACCTGCCCGCCTCCTGTCCCCCCAAAACACTACTTCTGTCTTGTCAAGATTCAACCTCAATCTGTTAGTCGCCATCCATCCTCCAACCGCGTCCAGACACTCACACAAGACCTTCACTGCCTTCAACTGGTTCCAGTTTAAAAGAGAGGTAGAGCTGGGTATCATCCTCATACTGATGAACACCCAGCCCAAACCCCCGATGATCTCTCCCAGTGGCTTCATATAGATGAAACTAGGGAGCTTCATTTCTGTGAACAGTTTTGCTTCTCTTCGAACTGTAGCCAGTGGCTCTCCTCTCCTTCAAGCGAATTCAGGCTGTCTCAGTTAAAGCTAATCACTCATGAAACTGGTAGAGAGCTCCAGTTAAGCAGGGAACCTCTTTTCCTTCCATTGCAGATAAGAACAAAACAGGAGCCCCTCTGTGCATTCATCTGAATGTGCAAACACCCCTAATGTGAACATATGATCCTCAAATATATATTTAAAGCTCCTTCCCATGTGGCCAACATCCTTTTCTCTGACTATAGAGCAAATCCTGTGACTTAAGGCAGGCTAACAACCTCCCAGAAGGGAGCCCAATTCGAGCCAAGCCACCTCCACAAATTTACTCCCTGTCCCACTTCACTATCTGCTGTTTTGCTTGTGCAGCCATCATTCATTAATTGCTTCCACATCCAGAGCTATAAAAAGTGCAATCGTATTAGCGGGTACTGTCTCCTACGCTTACTGGTGAAATCTGTTTTCTGAGCTACTTTACGTGGCCCAGAACCCAGTACTAAAAATCCATCGCTAAAACAATTTTGTCTACGGAAGCATGGGTTCTGCTTCCGCCGTTACCATTTTGGAAAGCAGATTAGCTTTGATTTCCATGTAAGAAGCTGCTAATAATAAAACCTTTAGGATTTGGAATGCGAACACATGTGGATGCAGATCTATCTGTCTATATTTGGCAAGCGGAGATTTTAAAGGCATAAGCACAATTTTGAATTTGCAAGACCGGCCTCAGCTGTAAATTTGATAATATGACAGTGGTTCTTGGCAGACATAACTGTGGTTCAGCATATCTCTGTTTTGCAGATCCAGTATCAGGCAGGTATAAGTTCAGCATTACCTCTGAATACTTAAAGCCCATGGTTAAGGATTAGCTAAACCAAGATGTGACTGCATCGCGCTTAGAAAGGGATATTGTGGTTTCAACGCTGTTCTTTGGTCTGGTCCAGTAGAGCTCTTCTTGTGTCTTTGAAAGGAAATTACATGGCTTGTATCCAATGGTAGCTCAGAGTAGGAACCTAAAGTTCAATGAGTCTACTTTGAACAGAACTCAGTGGAAAAAAGGCCCATGTACAGATTCCACTAACTGTGAAGGTAACAGAGATAGAAGAAGCTGGCGACTGATGTACTTTGATACAGAGGGAAATGTTTTGGATCATTGTTATGGTGTTCTCTGTACTGTGGTGCTCTCTCTTTCATTGCACGTAAACAGAGATAGCTCAGTCGGTACAGCATGACACTCTTAATCTCAGGGTTAAGGGTTCAAGCCCCATGTTAGGCGAAAGAATCCTGCATTGCAGGGGGTTGGATTAGAGGATCTTCATGGTCCCTTTCAACTCTACAATTCTATGAATCTATGCAGTAGGATCACAGTTTAGTTTTACTTTTGCGATCGCAGCTTTATGGCCAGTTAATAAATAAATAGAAAGACTGGGCAGGAGAACTTAGTTTTCTGGTTTCTGGGAGGCTTCATGGAAAGAGTTTCTAACCCCTTTGCTTTGCTTACCAAACTCTGGGAGGGTCGCACAAGATTTCACAGGGCGTCTGGGATCCTGCGAGATCTCAGACAGTATGGTCGTTCTCAGTTTGCACGATTTTGCAGTCACCTGCAAGCCCCGGGAACGTAACGCTTGCCTAAGTTGCGATGGCACTGTACATTGCTGTGTTTCGCCTCGATATCTTCTATGAATTGGTGATTGTGACGTTACCATGTATGAGAGAGTGCTGGAGGGGAAAGAGTTAAATAGGTTGCACAGACAGGACCCAGGGGGGTGGAGTCAGTGGGTCTATAAAGGAGTTCTGGGAGGAGTTCTGGGGGTAGTTCGTTGGGAGTTGTGGGTGGGTAGTTGGTTGGTTTTTGAGTGGGTTGGCTGGTTGGGAAAGGCAGTTGGTAATAGAGAGACAGTTAGGGCAGTTGGTGTTTGAGTGTGGGGTGGTAGCAGAGATAGAGAGAGGAACATAAGACTAAGAAAGTAAAGAGGAACACTGTTTGGAATGCTGTAATAGTTTTGTTTTAAGTCTGAAATAAAATACACTCTTCTTTATGAATTGAAAGGCTGACTGAGACTGAAGTGATTTTACCAGGGAGGACCTGGTTGGTGGCAGCGGATTAGTGGTGTACAGGTCAATAGTCCGTGAGACGACCGGGGGCTCCGTACGAACGCCACAGTGATGCATAAATATTTTAAATAAATAAAGACAGAAACATAGGTATTTTTTTTAATGAGGATGGATCTGTGTGGAAAACACAGCTGGAACAGCACCCATTATAAGAAAGTGATGTGGGCAGAGGCCTAGTTTTAGCACAGTCGAGATATCAAATGCACTGCTTTATCAAATATGGCCCAACCAGCTGGGTATGAAATCCTTAAAAATCTGCACTGAGTGTCTTTCTCACCTCACACCTCCTTTATGGCAAGTTTCCAGAGAGGTCTGTAGCGACAGAGGTGAACCCAGCGGAAACATACATATCTGAGCAGGTGAAAAGTGAGCTGGTGTAGCAACAGTCAATTTTCCAGATTCTTTCTCCCTACCAGGCATGCTGTGAAATTCTCCAGGGACGCTCACCTTTTACAGAGCCGCTAGAACATAAATGTCAGCTGTTTCTAGCTATGGGGGAGAGGTGTTTGTTTTCACACGCGCATGCCATCGGTGTGCAAACAAACAAACTCTCAGTCCAATCCAGCGTGGTTTGGGATTTGGCTAATTGGTCTCTGGAGTCGTAATGGCGCTGCGCAAAAGTTCGTGGTTTATGGAAACCTAGCAGCCCTCCCCTTTTTGAAAGAAACAAAACAACAACCACTTAATCCTAAAGACCAGAACTGCTTTTTAGATTGTTTCAAAAGAACGAGAGATTAATTGAATATAGGAGAGTCGTCTGGGTTGCTTGCTAATCCTGCTAAATCCCGACTCTTTCTGCGTCTAATGTGCTTTCGTTTATACCCCCCCCCCGCTCGCAAAAACAAACATGAAGTAAATAGAGCGATGATATCTTGTGCATCGGAAAAATCTCCACCTTCAAATTTCTAGGCCAGCCTTGCCAATTATTCTTCCAAAGTTAATAACCCATGATTGTTTTTTTTTTCTCCAGCCCATGCCAAGTTTACCATGTATGTCCACTCAGTCACTTCAGACTGGGAAACCAACAGTTTTACAAGTGTCAAATAATGCTCATTCTCCACTTGTAAGGAAGCAATCTTTTAGCTTGGCAGTTCCTACACTCTGGAACTCCTTGCCTCTTGACATTAGGCAGTTGCCTTCCCTGCCTCCTTTTTGGGGCCTGCTAAAATGCTTTCTGTTTAGGCAAGTCTACCCAGACATGCTACGCTGATGTGTATCTTCATCTGTAATTTCAGTTTGGAACTCTTGATTTTATTCATTTTGTGTGTTTTTTATAAACTTGTTTTTAACGTTGATAATAATGTAAATTTTTAAATAATTATTTAATGTTCCTTGTAAACTGGTTAGAGGTTTTATTTACAGTTAAGGGGTGTACAGATTTTGCCAAACAAAATAAATACCTAAAGCTGTCTATACTGAGGGGGCAAGTTCCAGCTTTTTCGAGCTTTCTTTCCTGGTCACCCAGAAGCATACATTTTTTTAATTCAGACTGCTTTTTTTTATTTGGGGGGTGGGTCTGCAAGGGGTCTCCTGCCAACCTAGCAGTTCAAAAGCACGTCAAAGTGCAAGTAGATAAATAGGTACCACTCCGGCAGGAAGGTAAACGGCATTTCCGTGCGCTGCTCTGGTTCGCCAGAAGTGGCTTAGTCATGCTGACCACATGACCCAGAAGCTGTACCGGCTCCCTCGGCCAGTAAAGCGAGATGAGCGCCGCAACCCCAGAGTAGTCTGCAACTGGACCTAAAGTTCAGGGGTCCCTTTACCTTTACCTGCAAGGGGTGTTGATTGTTCTTGGTGTCTCCTGCTTTGCGTTCAATCCCTTGCAAGCACAGGTACAGAATCTTTCCCCATGTGACTGGCAAAGCACCTCAGGTGCCTACTCCCAATTGGCTTAGTTTTGGCTTGCAGGTGCAAGAAAGCAGTTGAGGAGCAAGGGGGAAGACCTTTGCTGGTGTTGTCTGCACCTGGGAGGAGGTGAAAAGTCATCTTGGCTCAGGAGAAGCCTCAGTTACAGAGCATCTGCTTTGCATTCAAGTTCCAGGTTCAGTCCCTTATTCTAAACCCCTGGAAAGCAACTTCCATGTCAGCAGAAGCAGAACTGAGCTAGGTGGACCCAAGGCTCTCTCAGTACCAGCTGTCTTCCTATGTTCCTTTGAAAAAACAGCCAAAATGCACAATTCAGGGTTAAGCTGGGGGAGCAAATGGGGATACGCTCAGGTCACCCATTGCATACACCTAGTATGAGACAAACTGTACTCAATAATGGAAAAGATAGCCCGAAATGGCAAAAATGACCAGAAAAATCTGAAATCAGGAAGACCGAAAGAGGAATGGGGAAAATTTATAATTTATCTTAAAAACCATTGTAAACAGTTAAAGTTGTTAGTAGGATTGGAATAACACTTGTAGTTCAGTGGTGAATTTTGGATATAATGGAGATGCAAAAGATTTGGATTATTATAAAAGATGTAGGAGGAAATGATTGACAATAGGACCCACAAACGGGACGAGGGGAGGACAGAAGATTCTTTGGAATCTTGCTTTTATGACGTATGTTGGATAGGAGGTTTGAAAAACCAAATAAATATATAAAAAAGAAAAGAAAAGATAGCCCTTTCAGAAATTTCAGAAAATAGAGGAGGGGAAGCACAGCTTGACTTGTGTGCTTCCTTTCCCTAAGCTTCTGGCTCTTCTCTGGGGAGAGGGACACATTTTGCGTAGCTCCCCTTTTGGAGGAGGACTGGAAGCAAGGGGGATAGGCAGTGCAAGCCAGCCATGCCTCCTCTCCCGGGAGCTGGAAAGTCACCTGGGAACATGGAAAGTTGCATGGCACATCAGTGTCCCTTTAGGATCAAAAGTCAGGGTCAGTGCAGTGCTCACTGTTAAGATGCATGTGGGGGAGCCCTGCACACTTTGGTCTATGGCAACCGGATTCCAGGTTGCTGCCTGTTGTTTATTACGGTGGTTATAGCGGTTCCCATTCATCTCATCATCATCAGCAGTTCTTATTCATCTTCTCCCCTGGGCATTCCAGTGTAGCGCTCCCTGGCATGCTCATTTGCTAAACGGAAACAAACTCTGCTCATGCCATGCTGGGAAACATTTCTAGCATGGTGCACTGTGTGTGTGTGTGTGTGTGTGTCCCTCTGTGTGTGGCCTTAAGCCTGTGCTTGTAATGAAGATGAATTGCTGCTAATGAAACAGCTGGGTGATGTGACCCCGTTGTGCCCTTGGTCGTGCAATACTAGACGGTAGGTGAGATGTTTTTCTAAAGAAATTCGTAGCTCAGCAATGCAAATCCCTTTGCCCTTTCAGATAAGCAGAGGGCTGGAAAGGTTTGCGATTAGTCTACCCTGCACAGTACATGATTTTAAAGGGAAACAAAGTTAACTGTCTTTTGTATGCCCTAGAGAGTGATTTTAGTGATTTTTATGGACGCTGGTGGCGCTGTGGGTTAAACCACAGAGCCTAGGATTTGCCAATCAGAAGGTCAGTGGTTTGGATCCCCACAATGGGGTGAGCTCCCGTTGCTCAGTCCCTGCTCCTGCCAACCTAGCAGTTCGAAAACAAGTCAAAGTGCAAGTAGATAAATAGGTACTGCTCCGGTGGGAAGGTAAACGGCGTTTCCGTGTGGTGCTCTGGTTTTCCAGAAGCGGCTTAGTCATGCTGGCCACATGACTCAGAAGCTGTACAACGGCTCCCTCGGCCAATAAAGTGAGATGAGCCCCGCAACCCGAGAGTCGGCCACGACTGGACCTAATGGTCAGGGGTCCCTTTACCTTTCGATAGTGATTTACCTGTCTGGCTTGGTGCAGATGTGGACCACAGGTTTTTTCCTCTCTGCAGGTTAAGCACCATATCATGATTGTATTTGTGTTTGTATTTTTTTATATTAAAAAAATCTATTATTAATTTCTGCCCTGCCATCTCTTTCAAGCAGCATTTAGAATATTCCAAAACCTCTCTACTCTGGCTCGGAGTGCATCTGCCCAGCCACACACTCCCAGGGATGCTCCTCCGCTGCTCTGGGTGGTTGGCGTGGTCCACAGGCCCCTCTGGGTATCTCAGCGGAGGAATCCGGTCACTGGCATGGGCTGCCACAAGAGTCCTGCAGGACCCCCTCCCCAGTCAGCCAGTAGCGCTATGAGAAGTGTGAACCGA